TTTCCAACTTTATGATGGTGCAAAAGTGACACGTGTCCAGTACAAATCCTCCTTTGGATGTTGAATGTTGATCTTTTCCCACTAATGTATGTGGTAGGAGACACTCTGGCTGCTGGGCAGTGGCAGTGAGCACAGCTCCCAGGCATCCGGTGATCATGAGGGTAAATAACTGGTACTCCACAGGGTGCTATGTTGCCAACATTTTTTGGATACTCTTTACAATAAATTACATGAGCTTCTCAGCACTTTATTATAATATAGCCTTTGCATGAGATGAGTTTGCCCAGTGGCAGGCTAATTAATGCAAGAGTTCTGAGCACATTGAGGGAGGTGAGGCTAGGCTAAGCAATGATGTTTCGTATGTTAGGTATATTACACACATACATTTTTGACATGCAGTATTTACCAGTATGTAACCCCATTGAAAATCAAGGAGCATCTATACTCGCCAAATAGTATGGTGCCTGTGGCTCAATCCAGGGTTCATGTCCTCGTTCTGTTTCTTCTCGGCCATGTGAACACAGACAACTTATTAAATATCTTAATGTTTCCATTTCCTTATCTTTACATGGGAATAATATTAGTACTGACTGCATACAGTTGTTGTGTAAGTTAAATATAAGATAACATAAATGCATGTAATCTGCATTTTATTTTAAAATATATTTGTATTGATTTCAGAGAGGAAGGGAGAGGGAAAGATGGAAATATCAATGATGAGAGGGAATCGTTGATTGGCTGCCTCCTGCACTCCCCCTAGTGGGGATCGAGACCACAACCCAGGCATGTGCCCTGACTGTGAATTGAACTGTGACCTCTTGGTTCATAAGTCAGTCAATGCTCCACCCCTAAGCCGAGTTGGCTAGGCAGAATCTGCCTTTTACATGGGCTATGATTAGTATATCTAATATACTCTCCAGCTTTGGGATTAGCATCTATACTAATAAAAGGGTAATATGCTAATTAGAGCAGATGTCTTCCAAACATCCTTCTGGATAAAGCCACAGTGGCTGTGAGGGCCAAAGGGAGTCAGGCATGATGGCAGCTACAAGGCCCAGGACTCAGGCAGCATTGGGCTCAGGCAGCCGTGAGCCCCTGCAGCTGCGAGGCCTGGGGTTCAGGCAGAGGCAGCAGCAGTGAGGGGGGAATGGGGGCGGTGCCTTCCCCTGATTGGCTGGTCGCCTCCGGCAGAGGGAGGCCAGACTGTGGCTTAAGACATCCCCTGACGGCTCCTGGACTGTGAGAGGGGGCAGGCGGGGCTGAGGAAACCCCCCCTGCAGTGCATGATTTTTCGTGCACCGGGCCTCTAGTATACATATAATAAATTTGTTGAATGGAGAAAGAAAGAAAAAAATGAGAGAGGGAAGGAATGAGAGAGAAAGCCCATAGAGGAGGGAAGGGAGAAAGAGAGACCAAAGAGTCACCTAGAGCACCAAGAAGTACTGGAGGAAAACAGCTATTCAATTAGGAAGAATCACCACACTTTCTGCTCACAAGCAGGTGAACTTGGCTCTAAAAATGATTGGCAGGTGTTTCCCCCCAAAGGAAACTAGCAACAGAGTTGTGTTGTTGTTATTTTTTTTTTAAGAAAGGAAGACAAAACTGCCAGGATCTTACTCAAATAAATACATTTGGACAAGAATCCATCTCTCGATTTATGTGTGAAAATAATGAAAAGATGTGCAGCACTGACACTTTCAGGAATAAATGTGAAGACTTGTTTCATATAATCTCCCAAAGACACCTTCGGGAAGGAGAGCCTATTCGGTAATTAAGCCACTTGTCACCCTCCCACACGGGCAGATCTGTGCGGAAGTCACTTCGTCACGTCGAGGACTGAGGGCTGCTCCCCCACGGGAGCACTTCGCGTCGGGGAATCCAAAGCTTTGCTTAAAGAGGTCATTTGCTCCATAGATTCAAAGAGCTATTGCAGCAGTGACAGGTTTTCTTCCTGTAAGACATGTGGCATACCTTTCATTTATTCACATAGCAAGCCAAGCTGGGCTCTCACTGTGTGTAAGTCTACTTTAAATGTTTCAGAATAAGGATTTCAGATACTTTTTTTTTTCTCAAAACGAAAGGAAGGGGATAGAGACTGGTGCTATTTTTATGTTCCCTGAATTCAGCCATCAGTCCTGCTTGTTTTTTGACATTGTCTAGATCAGTGGTTCTCAACCTTCCTAATGCCGCGACCCTTTAATACAGTTCCTCATGTTGTGGTGACCCCCAACCATAAAATTATTTTCGTTGCTTCTTCATAACTGTAATTCTGCTACTGTTATGAATCGTAATGTAAATATCTGATATGCTATATGTGTTTTCGGATAGTTGCGACCCACTGGTTGAGACTCTAGAGCAGTGATGACGAACCTATGATACGTGTGTCAGTGGTGACACGCGAACTCATTTTTTTGGTTGATTTTTCTTTGTTAAATGGCATTTAAATATATAAAATAAATATCAAAAATATACGTCTTTGTTTTACTATGGTTGCAAATATCAAAAAATTTCTATATGTGACATGGCACCAGAGTTAAGTTAGGGTTTTTCAAAATGCTGACATGCCGTCAAAAGGTTTGCCATCACTGCTCTAGAGGATAAAAGGAGAGGCCTCGCAGGTTAGTGAGGGCACCTATCTGAGAAGTTCTGCAGGGTCTCTACTGAATCCGGCGTTCCTGGTGACAAAACAACACGTCCAGGCATCTGAGGGGAAGGGTATAGAAGCAAATAATAAGAGGATGTGGCATGGAAGAGGGGTTGGTGAACCAGGGAAGGAAAGAAAGGGACAGCAGCCAAAACAAATGACTGGGAGAACGTTTGCTTTTCTCTCTGAAGAGTAAGTATATGGTAGGCTCACATCTTCAATTTGGTTATGGAACATCACCAATATGTAAGTGAGTGCGCAGCCTATGTGCTTTGCCAGAGATGTGTATTATATTTGAACTTCTCTTTCCACATCCATTTTATAACATAAGGAAATATTGGGCAAGACTGGTATTGCCAGGGTGGAGCGGGGATCAGAACATCAGGCCTCGGAGCCAAACAGATCCAAGATCGTTGCAAGCTCAAACTTTTTAGTGCCTTGGAAAGTGTACTTGGTCTCTGCGTTCTTGTCTTCATTTTGAAAAAGGATGATTAAAAAGATCAGTAACCATAAAAGGCTATTTTGTAAGTGCTCACCACAGAATCTGACACAAAATCACCCCTGAAATAATGTGAGGTGCTATGACCACCACCACCATTTAAATGTCTACCAGTTTCCATAGCATCCTTCCCTCCTGAACCTGTAGAGGTGGTATTGTATGAGTGTACTTTTTTTTACTATGCATTATAAGCTACACATTCAAGCACTTAAATGTATGTGAAACATGTCCTTCTCAACATTGGCAAAAGTTCATCAGAACAATGAAATGTACATTATGGGATTTTCATCAGTATAGATTTTAATTCAAAATTGTAGCATACATGGAAAGCCAAATAAATGTTTACAGAAGCCAGTGATAGTAGTAGCTGAGAAATGAAGAAGAAAAAAGCAGACTGAGAAAAAAAAAACCCTCTCAATTATTAGAGATATTGATACAGGATGACTTTAATCCATCATAATCAGAAGGACCTGTGTTTTCTGATTGTGAAAACGGATGTGTGCAGACATACATACTTGAGGTTGCCCACTCAGAGGGTGCCTACTTTGTAAAACAGCTAATTCATGTTAGAAAGGAAGTCTGGGGCCAAGGAATAATGCAAAGGATGTGAATCTGTGAGAACATTACAATTTTTTTTTTTAAATATAGTTTATTGATTTTTTACAGAAAGGAAGGGAGAGAGTTAGAGAGTTAGAAACATTGATGAGAGAGAAACATCGATCAGCTGCCTCCCACCGGGGATGTGCCCGCAACCAAGGTACACGCCCTTGACCGGAATCGAACCTGGGACCTTTCAGTCCGCAGGCTGACGCTCTATCCACTGAGCCAAACCGGTTTCGGCGAACATTACAAATTTGAGACAGAACCTTGCAGTCCAGCTGTTACAGACCAACTGTATGTCAACAAGATCTGCTAAATCATGACCCATTACTACTATCTGCATATCTAATACCTCTCCTCCAGGAACCTCTCTGCCCCTCATGCTGCTCAGAACATGAGCCTCCTTGCTTTGTCTGGGCACTTACATGTGGATTCCTTACCTACACTCATACTCCCAAAAGACTGATGGAATACATAATCGGGTAATGGATAGTACTTGGTAAACCCTGGAAAATATTTGTGGGAGGAAGATAATCTCTCGTTTACATTATGAACAGCATTGATCACACAAGTGACAAAGACAAAAATCTGTCTCAATGACAAAGGGGTAGTGGTAGATGCCTTTTTAAAATGCTAGAGATTGTAGGTGTTCATCCTTAGAAGTTAAACATAGATAATTTGTAATCTGCAAAAAGATTTCTGCCTATGGAGGAAGGGGATCAGATACATCACAACATTTCCCTGAATAAGTTAGCTTTACCTTGGTTCCTCAAGTTTAACCTGGTATATAACCTTGTATAAAACTTGTCAAAATCCATGGTAATAATATCAAATCAGTGATTAGGATTGAAGTTGAGTGCAAATTGCATTTGAGGTTTTTTTTTTATTCTCTGAAAGTTATAAATCTGAATATTTTAAAGGATTCTCACCCAAGATTTTTTTAGATTATTAACTGATTTTAAAGCATACAGTTGCTTATTGAGCAGTCTACAACTTTTTATAATGCCTAGAGAGTATAAGAGGTATTATTTTCTATTCACTTGCATAGAACAAAAGAGCAACTCCATTCCAACATCTCCCTCAGTCAAGCAATGAAAACAATAAGCTTCCTTTGCTTTTTTTTCTGTCAAGGACAAAATTGAATACGCAATCCATTTATATCAGGGAGCTGATGGTATTTATAACCTCAGCTACTTTTAGATTACCTTCATTATAATTTTATCCTCAATTACCCCATATTATATTATGTTTAAAATTCTAAGCAAATGTCTCACTATTTTAAAAGAGGCAGGGCACGTTCCTATATGAATAGCTAAGTAAATGTTTATTATTCGTTTGTGATTGATTTTATGCAATACTCTTGTGTCACTAAATAAATGCAACAGTGACAGCAAAAAAAGGCTGAAAGGGGCAGAGCCATGGCCACCCCCGTGGGTTTCCATGCTAACAAACAAACTTCCTGTACTGCTGAGATCTCTGGGCTCGCTTGTTACTGCTGTAGGGCCGTCCTGACCAATCAGGAAACAGATCATTTGCCCTCTCTCTGCCATGGTGCCTGAGAGTCCTGAGCAGAGGACAGCCAGTAGGTTAATTGAAATTCAGGGACAGCGATTAGCGCCCAGCTCTTGGTGAAGAAGTACTGGCGGGTGATCTGGAAGCCGAAGTGCTGGTAGAGGGCCAGGGCGGCATGCTGCATCATGCTGGTGGTGAGGACAACTTCTCTGTAGCCCTGGTATGCTGCAAACTGGAGGACAGTCCTGACTAGGGCCTTCGCTAGCCCCCGGCGCCGGTGCTCCAAGGCCACACTTAAGTGGAGCATCTGCAACTGCTCCTTCCGCGCAGTGGGCTCCTCAGCGGGCAGAGCTCCCACCATGGCCACCACCTACCCCTCGCTCTCAGCCACCCAGAAGCAGGAGCCCGGCTCACTGAGGTAGGATTTGCTGATGTCAGACATGTCTGTGTGCAGACTGTTGGCCACAAACAGGCTCCAGGGGTATTGAGCAAGGAACCTCAGGGCGATGAGCAGGGTGAGGCTGGCCGCGAGGACCAGGAGCCAGGAACCAGAGACCAGAAACAGGGCGAGGGGCCCCCCAAGCAAGAGCACAAGTGTTCTGGGCAGCTTCAGGAGGTGGCAGAAGGTGCGGGGGACATGCTCATCCATGCCCTGGAAGAGCAAGCCCAGGACCCAGGGGCGGTCACTCTCCTCATATTTGCGGATGTGGTAAGGAGCCATGGAAGACCTGTGTGTCTGAGTCTCAAAGTCCGCCAGAGAGAACCCTGGGGAAGAGAGAAGAAGCCATGTGAAAAGAGAGAAGAAGCCATGTGAAAAGAGAGAACCCTCATATTTCCCACCTCCAGGAACAAGAGAGACCCTGCTCAAAGGCTCGTCTTTCTGCTGCTGCTCAAGAAAGTAGGTCACAGCCCCTGGGAGAAGGTATAGGAGCAGAAAGAACTGCATTTGATCCTGGCTCCATTCCTTTCTAGTGGTGTGACTAGACATGTCACCTAACCTCTTTGAGCCTCCGTTTCTTCATCTGTACCACAGAGTAAAATAAAAACATACCTTCTGAGGTTGGTTTGAGAATCTGCTAAAACAACATATACAAAGCTCTGGTATATAAAGCA